TCCGCCACCTGGTCCACTCGGTCCAGAAGCTCTTCACGAAGTCGCACTCCCTGGAGGGGCCATCCAAGGGGAGCGTGAATGGGGGCAAAGCCAGCCCCGACGAGACGCAGACGGTGCGGTACGGCAAGCGCAGCAAGAGCAAGGAGCGGCGCACAGACCCCAAGGCCCGCCCCAACGCCTCCCCTGGCTGGTGGAGCTCCGATGATAACCTGGACGGCGACATGTGCATCTACCACGCGCCCTCGGGCGTGATGACCATGGGCAGGTGCCCCGACCGCTCGGCCTCGCAGTACTTCATGGAGGCCTACAACACCATCAGCGAGCAGGCGGTCAAGGCCTCCCGGAGTAACAACGACGTCAAGTGCTCCACCTGTGCCAACCTGCCTGTCAACCTGGACGCGCCGCTCCTGAAGAAGAGCGCGTGGTCCTCCACTCTGACAGTCAGCCGTGCCAGGGAGGTTTACCAGAAAGCCTCGGTTAACATGGACCAGGCCATGGTGAAGTCAGAGTCGTGTCAACAAGAACGTTCCTGCCAGTACCTTCAGGTACCATTTATGTCAAGTGATGGATGCTTAGAAATTGTACCTGCTAAGTGTGTGGTGTTTTCTCCTGGGCCCTAGTCTTGGTCCTGCTGTGAATTGTCTGCATGAACCTGAGCAAATTATTTAGAGTTTCTCTGGCCAACTGCTCCTATCAGGAAACCGGCTACCCAACTCCATCCAGTTATCTTGAGACACTAGATACAAAAGTGCTTTGAAAAGCACGCCTACATAAAGGCAAGGAGTTATTAACGTTTAGCATTCCTCTTTCATCTGAGGGAACATGGGATAGGGAGGTGAGAAAAGGGGAGTCTACACAGAATTTTAAAATAAATCCACCTTTTTTCTTTTTCTCTTTTTTTTTTTTTACAAAAGTCAACAATGATCTTTTGAATTTTGGAAGGAGTTTCATTAGATCGATCTATCCAGAGGGTGGGTTTTTTTTTTCCTTTATTGTAAAATTCTGCCTTAAGCTATTTGTTTGGGAAACTTGATCTATCTCCTCACCATTGTAATTGTTATCACCACCTCCAACACTAACCACACTCCCACCCAAACCCCCACCCCCACCCCCCAGAGCACAGGGCATTGGAACGCTGCTCTGGGCCCTGAGGAAGTGGAGATCAAGCCAGTTTGGGGACCTGACAAGCACGGCTGCAGAGACCCAGGAAAACGGAGAAGAGGAGGAAAAGCAGGGGGAAGCAGCCGCGAAATAAAATGCAATTAGTGTCAGTGTGTAAATCCCACACACGTATAGACCCGAGGCAAGCCGCTCCTCCTCTTTCAGTCTCCTCATGTCTTTAGCTAATGCCCTTCCATTCACTGAACCTAGATTCCCCTGGATAAAAATGTCAGGAGCAGAGTCTTTTTCTTTTCCCCCTCCCCACCCCACCTTACCCCCCCCCGCCCCGGGGCCAATTCCTCTATCTGGTAATTGTCATTTTTCCCAAGATAATAATCCTCCCTGAAAAAGGACCCTCATATTTTTCCTTTTCACGGTGTCTTTTTTTCTCTTTTCTCTCCTGTACACCCATCTTTAAAAAAAAAGAGAAAAGTTTGTATTGGACTATAAAGGCATGCCATAATCATTTCTCACTCTCATCCTAAGAAGAAATGCAAGGAAAAAGTCTTCCACTGAGAAATTCAACTTTTTGCTCTCTGAATTGCTCCTGACAAATCTGGCTCCTTTGAGAATGCCTCTGCCAAACCCTGAGAATATGCCAGGTGGGGAGTCACCAGGCAAGGACATCCCAGTGTTCAGAAGAGGCCACCAACATGCGGATAGTTTTCACAAAGAGCACACAATTCCAATGGTCAGTTTTTCCCACTCAGAGTGGTATTGCCTCATTTACTATAAGGTTGCTAGAGGAGTTAAGCCATCAAGAATTCTTAATGGAATTTTAGAGCTAAAGAGTACACCTATTCCAACCTCCTCACTTAGTATATAAAAAACTAGCCTCGAAGAAAAGTAAAGGCTTAGTGGGTTATTCTGTTATATTGTTAGTATAGAGGGAGGAAAGAATCCAAGTCACTTAATTTATAGAAATGACTATAACAAGGGTTACAACTGAAGCTTTAGAAATTCTTTAGGCATATCAATCTTACCCACCACCTAGAATAAAGTATTTTGATTAGAACATCTGTCCTGAGGAAAGGATGGGTAATGAGGTAGGAGCCCTAGAACAGGATAGTTTATCTATGAAAGTTCTGTAATGGGTGGGAAAAACAAAACAAAACAACAAATTAAAAAAAAACCTAGACTTTAATAAGTAGTGATGAGATTAGATAAGAAATATTAGATTAAGGAAGAAAACTCTACAAGGATCCAGGAACAGCCTTTGTTCGTGACAAAATGCCTTTTATATGCTTGCATGATTGCCTACGTTCTTCTTGCCTCCAATTCCTTTTTCTTTCTTTTTTATGCCTTTTTGCAGTAAAAGGCTCAAGTAGTGGAGAAGAGTGGAAGGATAAGGAAACTGATATTGATTGAAAATCTACAATGTATCAGATGCTATAGCAAATGTTTTCACATTTGTTATTCCATTTAATTTTTAAGATAATCCTGAGAGCTTGATATAATAATACTCTGATTTTACAAGAAAGGAAACTGAGATGAGAAATATCAAGTGATTTTAAAGCCACATGGCCAATAAGCTGAAGAACTGAGAATTAGACTTATATCTATTTGATGCAAAATAGCTCTTTCCAGTACATCCCAGCACAGCCCTGGAATCGAGGGCATGAAAATAGTGAACAGGAGGAAAAAAAATCTGTAGAGCAAACATATTATTATTAAAAGCTTTTCAGTAAAATGAGAATGAAAGCTTGAAGATTTAAGTATGAGATTTAGTATTGTAGCATTATTAGATCTCATATTCAAAAGATTTGGGAATTCTATTTTCAAGGTACTTACCTTCTTTTAAGCCAGTTTTTTAATGAAATATTTGGGGCTTACAGAGAGGTATAAAGAAAAATAATAATAAAACAAACACCCAGTTATACGTAACCCAGCTGGAGAAATAAAACATTAATTACAATGGATCACTTATATACCTTCCCCAATCCCATTTCCTTCCCTTCGTCCCCAGAGTAACAGCTAATATGACTCACTACCCAAAGGACCTTTGCTTTTAATTCTGAAGTTATTGAAAGATTGAAAGAAATTAATATTTTCTATCATACATTGGGCAATAATTAACACTGGGCCAAGCTAGTTAAACCCTTTAAATATAAACTGAGCTCAAAGGCACACCTTCTTTAATAAATATTGACATTTATTGAGCTCCTATTCTGTGCAAGCCTTTCAGACTGGAAAAAAAAAATTTCCGTATTTCAGTGTGAGCAAGTAGTGGGCCTAGCAGACAAACTATATGTACAACAGTGTGTTCTTCCCACCCAGCATGCAGAGTTAGTTAAAGGGCTCCTAGGAAGAAGGGGAAGAAGGAGTTGCACGTTCACAGGGGGAGGGAGGAGAACAGGAAACTCCTGAAACTGGACATTCTCTCCAGCTCTCTTCTTTCTTTAGAAAAAAGAGGGACTCCACCATCCTACCGAAGCTCCTCTCAGGAAGACAGGTGTAGCCAGCCCCTGCCCGCTCCCATGGAATGATTTCATTTATAAGCTCATTCTTAGAAGCAAATTTGGGGAAATGAAGAAAAAAATATTTTTCAGTTCTATTATCTTAATTACCAACTAATAGTGAAACTGGATTTACAAATGTTTGACTTCAACCTCACAAAGTTTAGTGGATAAAGCACTGAACTTCAAAGGAGAGGGTCTATGTTCTAGTCACTGTTTGTCATTAACGGGTGAGCGGTCACTGATTAACCAGTGATCATCATCTCTGCTCTCTGGGTCTCCTTCCTCTGCTGTAAGTTGAGGCATGTGGCCTAGAGGACCTGAGATCTGAGTTCACATTTTTAGCCTCCTTAGTTACATACGAGGAGTACTAATTAGAGCAATTTTCAAGAGTTGCAAGGCCTGGAAACTCTCATTTAATACATGTCTACCAAAAGTACATGTTTTTCCAATGTTATCTAATTTGCTCTGTAAAACTCTGTGAAGTATTTTACAGTCAAAGAAACAGATTTAGTAAATGAGGTTAAGTAGCTTGCCTAAGGACCCACAGTTCCTATGCGGCAACATGGAGGGTCAGAACAGACTCATCTGCCTTCAAAGCCTGGGGTTTTCTCTCTACCATGACCAACCCCAACCCCTTCCAAATATTAAAACAGAGGGAGGAAGTGGCATGTATCAAATACCTGATATGTGCCAGAAACCACACAGTATCTCATTTCGTACCTGAAATAACTTTGTGAAGTATTATGTTTACTCCAGCTTTGCAGGTGACTAAACTAAGGCACGAACAATGAAATCACTTACCCAGGAAGGCATAGATAGTAAGTAAAAGAGCTAAGACTTGCTCCGAGATCCGTCTGAGTCTAAAATGTGCTCCAGGAATGGAAATAAATGCTTTTTACTTTCATTTTATTCCCTGCTTTATTCTGTAGCAAATGTACACGCTCCCTTGACCTCATCTCTGTACGTGCAGTTAGGCACGCAGGTACAGGAAACGTGACCCATCTTAGACAAGCAACCGAAGGACTGATTTGATTCGAGACCGCACAAAGGTTAAATTAATAGTCACCAATAATAGAATCTAAATACGAGCAAAGTTCTGATTCTCTCTTTGGAGAATTACCACTTGGAATTACTTTAACTTCAGCCATTGCCATGGTTATACAGAAAATTAGGAGTCTGTAGGTATTTGGCCTCTGTTTGATATTGATTTAGAAATAAAATACTGTAGCTTGAAATTATGGCAAGATCCAGTTAATACAGTCAGTTGTGATCTGTGCTCACTCACAAGCTGTTTGTAGTTAATAAAAAAAAAAAAAAGACTCCCTTTTTTTCCCCCCAATATTGTTATTTTTAAATGTCAAGAATCAGATGTCGGCTGTTTAGAATCTTGTACCCCTGCCAGGGACTGGTACAGGGTTTGGAGCAGGGACATGGATTTGAAGACATTAAAACTGTTTAATTCTCAGTTGAGATGTGGTTGGCTTTTATACATTTGGAATAGAGCATTTATGGCACATCTCCGGGTAAGTGCTAATAGTTAAGTAAATAAAATAGGAATGGGCTGGAAGGAATCAAAGGAGTTTTTGTTGTTGTTTTGTTTTGCTCTAAATGAGCAGGATTCTTGGTTCTGTATATGCCTCTTTATGTGAACGGTTCTGTGTTGAGTGACTAGCATCTAAAGCCATTCAGAGGAGCAAGATTTTAGATTTCCAACTGTTAACCTGAAAAAAAAAAATCCCTTCAATCATCTATTTTGCATTCATCCAGCACCAGAAACAGGAAAAGGGAAACAAAACGCTCTCTCCGGTAGAAGTAGAGACACACAGGGAGAGAGAGAGAGAGAGAGAGAGAGAGAGTGCAAGACAGAGACAGAGAAAGAAAGCCACTCTCAGAGATGAAATTTTAGGAGAGCGAAATGATCGACCTTTTTAAGGCTGAGTGGGTTTCTTCAGTTTGTGTGCAAGTTTCAAGAAATGGAAGGACTGACCAGGTTTGGGTACAACTCTTTTATTACTTTGTATTTGGTGATAGTATGTTGTTGGTTTGAGTGGGGTTTTCTTTTGGGGGAAGGGGATAGTTTTTGTTATTTTATGTCTTCTCTAAATAATAGCTGGTAAGACTGAAAGAGCTGATAAACTAATGTATATACAGATGGTAAGTAAACAGGTTGAGACATTGGATACCTACAAATCGGTGTCTCCAGAGGCTTCATAAAATCTTTCATGGACACATTTGATCTAAGATGCTAGGTGCTATTAGAGGTAATTGTGTGGCTAGTGATTGAAATGTGATCAGTTGTTTTCTATGACAAGGATCCTGAATGCTTCCTGAATGCTTACGATTCCTTTGCAAAATTAAAATTTCCGGAAGGCTGGGTTTCTGGGTTGTTTTTTTTTTTTTTCCTTTTTCTTCCTTTTCCTTCCTTCCTTCCTGGGGTTTTTTGTTGGTTTTTTTTTTTTTTTTTTTTACATAAATTTTGTTTTTTAAATGTGATTAGCATTTCAACTGATGGACTGAATTAAATAGATTGCCTTTTTTTTTTTTTTTTTTTTTTGTCTCTTGGTTAAATTAGACTCCACAAAAGATCACTGAAGAATCATTCATAACATGCATGAAGCCAGGATTTTTTTTTCCAGTGCAAGTACAACTATTTTTCAAATTTTGTTCAAGATTATTTCAGTCTTTGCCTAGTGGGAGTTTTTTCCTTCCCTGGCTGAGGTTTTCTTTCCTCTTGTTTTAGAACAATTTAAATTATATTAAATCAATTAAAAGTATTTATGTGAAATGTGTGACAGTGCTGAGCAATTCTGCTAGTGACTTTGGTTACTTGGTTACTGCAATGCTTGCTTGCTGCCTTTTAAAAAAAAAACCCGTCAACCACATTAATTAATAATTTTCTTTATTTTTAATTTGAATTGCTTTAATAATCCATTAAGGAGTGTCAGGATTCTTGAATGTATTTCCTTCTTGGCTTACACAATCTTCTCCCTGTTTTTTCACTGATCTTAGTAAATATATCCTCTTTGTTGATAGAAAAAAAGGTTACTCCTGCCTGATCCTAACTTTGAATGTAGAATCAAATGCACAGCTAGCAGAATCCTGGTAATTCTCCCTCTGATTCTAATTGTCACTATTGCCCATATCCAAATAATAGTGGAGATGTGGGTGAGACAATTGGCAAAACATTGTCAGAAAGCAGGGGTCCAGAAAGAGTCAGTAGTAGCCAAAGGAAGCTCAAAAAAGAAATAGGGAATCCTTCTTGAAATTTGTTAAAGAAACTTTATGATTCTTGGTCTGCAATTTCATTATTCTAAAGTACTTGGTTAGCCACCATCAAAGGTTCCATAACACATGTTTTCTGATCAGAGTCCAATCTACTAATGGAAGGTATAGCACAGCACTGGTTAGCACAGAAGAGAAAAAACTAGCCTTGGATCTCTTCATGGCCAGTGGCCTTTATTTCCTCTTTCTCTATCCTCCTTAGAAAACAGGTTGCTTGGTTGCAAATTAAAGGCTAAAGCTCCAGGTAATCCTTCACATTCTCCGGAGAAATATTCATCCATAATCTCTTGTCCACTTGAGATCATAGCTTTGCACAACTTTACATAAACAGTGATCTGTGAATGATAGAGCACACTGGTCTTTTGTTTGAGAGTTTATAGGGGCTACTAAAAAATATATGCAGTATTACCAAGTTGGCTTTGATTTGGTGATTAGATTAGGTTTTCATTATTTTGTTTTAGGTTCAAAGGCAACAACCTCTCTTAGTAGGTTATTGTGCTTCCTAGTATGCTGTTGAATTATGGAGAAATTCCATCTTTTTAGGTCTAAACAGTTGAAACTAGAACTTCACATGGTTCAAACCATAATACCCCTTGGTCAGATTTTTTTCTGTCATTTGCCAGCTTAGTAGAGAAAAATTAAAATTGGCCTATTCAGGTAAAACCAAATTACTAATGATATCCGCAAAGAGTTATGTGACCTCACTGATTTGTATTACTCATTTGAAACTTTGAACCCATAACTTTTCCCATTGGATAAGAATAATATGTGTGTGTAACTTCCCATCCAGGGCTCATTTATCTGATTCTCATGATCATCTTGCTCATCCCCTATCATTAGGTTCTGTCCCTAGTAACTGCCATTTGGAACACCATTATGGCACGGGGAAATTTTTTTTTACTTTATTTTTGTAAATGCATATTTAAATGTTTTTATAAATTCTTAGGTTGAAACCACAGTGGGGGTGGGGGGTGTGTTTTAATTTTTTTCAATGAATGATTTATTCTCCTTCAACCCAGTCCTCTCTCTAGCTAAAAGATAGATATAAAGAATGAATTAATTGCTGTTATACAATTAAAAAAGGTAAAGGAGGGAATATAGTGTAATGAGAAGCATGTCATCTTGCTCCTTGTGTTGCTTTTGACCAGTTTTTTATTTCTGGTATTTTTTAACTCTTTTCTTTCTTCGAGAACATTTGTATGACCAAGGAAATTCTGATTCTTTGGTCTTTTAAGTATAAGAATATATAAAACTATCTTTAAAAACAGTTGTTTTTTTATTTGCTCAAGTTAAGCAGTATACCCTACTTTGTTTCCATTTCTAAGATAAACTTCTAATTACATTTGCAAAATAAGATGTCTAGATAAGTAGATTTTTTCTTTCATGCACTTGAAGTCACTATCCTCTATCAGTTGAAGTTTCTACTCACTGTTCTCACAGAATTAGGAAATTTCCTACAAATTCAGTCTTGTGACATCACAGAACTGTCTGTGAAGCAGAATTACGTGGAGTCCAGAGTTACCATATGTAGTATGCATGTGTACAGGTCTATCTATACACGTTATACCTGCATAGACATCCCTGCACCCATACTTCAAAATTTGCATTTATATGTATGCTTTCTTTGATCTCTGATTCATGACATAGGATCCGTTTTAAACACACAATTTCACAATGTCCATGGAAGAAAAATGACTATAAAGTGGGGAATCACATTTTTCAAAGATCTCACTAGAAAACTCATTACTTTGCCTTTACACTGATTTTATTGAATTTCATCTCAGACCATTACTATAAACCAGTTAGGGGTGTCGTACTTCCCTGGTGTGAGGAGAAATCCCTTTCATACAAAGAGACATCCAACAACAATGAAAGGAAATGACTTCTGCTCCGCTTGCTTTTTTTTTTTTTCTCCCACTGTTTAATATTGGCTTGCAAAATTGTCTAACTCCTCCCTGATTTTACTCTCCTGGTGCCTAAAATCTGTGTAAAGAATCAAGCAGGTTTTGTTTTTTTGTTTTTAGAAAAATGATAGTGTTAGCATTTTAGAACCTCCTCATTGGAAGGCCATCTGGTATACCTTCTCATTTATAAATTTCTCCTTGCAAGGTGGATATAGCAATTTCCTGCCTACCTATTTCTCATCTAATAATCACCTTACGGAAGAATTCTTTGAGATTATTTAGTCCAACACCCTCTTTCTAAAAATGACAAAAATAAACCCTAGGGAGACACCTTGGTTGATACAAGATCAGTCATCTTGTCGGTAGCAGGCTGAAACCAGCATACTCACTGTCCAGCTACAGCCCTGTTCTTTTTCCCATTATGTCTCACACATCTGTGCAAACCTTTAAGGCTCTTTTCAAAGACTAGTTTACCCATCCTTACCACATCTTTTTAAGGCAGTGGGGTCAAGGCACAAGGAGACAAAGGGAGGAAAGAAATGATCTCAAATTTAGATTTGAAGCATGTTTGTGGCTTAAAAGATTCACAAGAGATGAAAACAGTTGTTAACTAAATGATTACCTGCAATTTATAATTCTGTGGTTACTAATGGGGCAGGGTAGTAAATTTTTAACTTCTGAAAAATAGAAATAGGTGTATTTCTCCTGTTATCCCTGTCCGTCCTTCCTGCATCTCAGTGGTCTCATTATGAATAATGTACCAAAGGAGGACAAATGGAGCAGAAATGCCCCATGTTTGGATATGTCATCTTTAAGCACTATACTCGGAGCTCTGGGACTGGTCTCTGAAGACCATGTACTTTCTCTGGGTCTTACACTATCTTGGCAGCCAGCTCCCCACACCTCTCACCTTACTTTTCTGGGATAAAAATTGTTAACATAGCTGGGACCATAAATATAAAATGCTTATGGTCATATATATGCATAGCCACTTGCTCTGTCCTGGAATATTTAGGACAATGATTCCTTAACTTTATGTGCACAAGAATCACCTTGAAAGTGGCTAAAAAATGAGGATTTCTGACATCAACCTAAAAGATTCTGAATCTGTCGTTCTGGGGTGATTCCAACACAGAGATCAATCTAAGAGCCACACGGTAACCCAAGTCTAGGGAACTATCAGATTACATTTATCATTGTATTTACTGAAGGGGGCAGTAGAGTCTAACAGATGAAAACGAGGGCTTCAGGTACCCCATTAGCTTTACTATCGCTGCTGACTTCCAACATGATTTTGGCCTCCCTTCACTTAGTACTTCCATTTACGTACCTGTAAA